GAAAGAAAGAAACGTTTCGGCTGACATCTTCTTCAAGGTGAAGTGTTTTACAGCAATTACACATTACAGCCTTTGACTCCGAAGGTTGGAGTTTCTCATTTCACAAAACAGTGCACGTTCAATTATTTGTACTACGACGTAAGAATGTATGACTCACACAAAATATCAAGAAAAGTTTCCGTTAACTTTCTCTTACGATGTTTGTTGAAGGTATCAGTAACTTTTTTTTCAGTGCTTGTAAAAGGTATCATTGACGTTTTTATGATGTCTGTTAGAGGTTTTTAATCGCTTTTTTAACTATGTTTTTTAGAAATTTCACTAACTTTTGTCCCCCGGTGGGACAACAGTAAGTTTACGGACCTACAATGCTAGAATTCGGGGTTCGATTCCCCCGCGGTGTACACAGAATATAGCATAATGTGAAATTGCTTTAAAACAAATAAACACTAAAATTTTACAATGTAAAAGACTTCAGCAACTTTTTTACAATGTTTGTTAGAAGATTCAACTGAGCGAGATCTGATCACACTGGAAACTCTTCAAGAACTTGTAGAAAAACAAACAAGTCAGCTGAAGAAGAAAGACAGTGAAATTCTACAGAAAAACAAGGAGATCAAAGATGTAGGTTTTAAGAAACTTATTATTTTTGTTTCAAGATCACATTTTAATTGCGACTCATTAGATAAAGCATAAAATTCTCGGCACAAAACATTATAATGTATAGACATAAGATAATAAAGCTCCAGCTTACATTACTGCCTTAGAAACATAGCAGTGTCCAAAATATTAAATATCACTTTCGTTAAAGTACACTTGAGTTAGGCCCGGCATGGCCAGGTGGTTAAAGTGCTCGACTCGCAATCTGCGGTTCGCAGGTTCGAATCCTCGTCACACTAAACATGCTCGTCCTTTCAGCCGTGTGGCGTTATAATGTGATGGTCAATCCCACTATACGTTGGTAAAAGTGTAGCCCAAGAGTTGGCGGTGGGTGGTGATGACTAGCTGCCTTCCTTCTAGTATCACACTGCTAAATTAGGGACGGCTAGCGCGGATAGCCCTCGTGTAGCTTTGCCCGAAATTCATAACAAACAAACGCTTGAGTCATCACTCTAAAATAATGTTATAAGCTATATTTTTAATGGTGCAATTTAGATACTAGCTAGAGGGCGCACTACGTTGAGATCAGGCAAGTCCTAGAATGTTCGTGATCAAGAAATTTTACGAAGTGTCTAAAACAAGGCCACTGGTATAGATACGAGTAGGTAGCTAGTTTAGGGACGATGAATAGTGAATGAATATTGATTCAGTTAGTGAAGTTCAATGAAGTATTTGGATTAGTGTTAGTTATTGCAAATATTTAGTTATTCGATCGATTAGCCATAGTACCATTAGAGAGGGATTTCCACTTATACGTTATCTGTAAAGTTAGGCCTACGAGTTACAAAAAGAGTACCAGGTTGTAAAAACGTTAAGAAATAAATAAAATAATTTACTATCGTTGTGTGGAATGAATTAGAATTGTTTTTATCGAATAATTTAAAAGAATCACTAAGTATAAAAGGTTTGTTCCCTTTGTCACTGTCGAGAACGCTTTCACGCTTTTTTTTTGGTAATACTCAACAATAAACATCGTAGCTTAGCAACAAACTATCACCTGATTGTTCTTAGGCGAACTATGGTGTTTGTGTTGAATGCTCAATATTCATATCGATTTGTTAGAAAGGTTTGTTTTCTGTATTATTATTTTTTTTATAACTTCGATGATGGCCCGGCATCTTCTTGTTGGTCTGGTGGTATGTTAACACAAGTGGAATACAATCGGTGTGTACTTTCTTGGTAGGGTTGAGTGTTTGCTACTCGGTATATGAGCTAGCTTTAGTGGCTGTATCGTGGATGGTAGAATCAGGGTAGTGTCTTTTAGAAAAAAAAAAAGTCTTCATGTCTTTCAATTTAAACTTATAATCATTATCATCACTTCATAGTTTGCGTAGTCGTATGAATTGTGAGTATGGTTTTGACTTTTTTGTTACTGTACGGGTGGGAAGATTCGAAGTTTAGGTACGTGTGTGAATGTGTTTCATGCATACTAGTGGTCGGATGGTCGTCTTATTCCGATCGGACACGATATCGTTGGGATTTGATATTATTTGTTGTTTATTCCTCACTCCCTACCTTCTTCTCGTGGTTAAATAAGTAAAAACAGTTGGCTTAAACGTAGATACGCGAATATAGTTTTAAAAAGCACTAATTTTAATTACCTGTTGTTTAATTACAGTTGTTTGTTTTAAATATTTGATAGTTTTAAAGGTTTTGAAAAGTTCATAACTACAGAAAAACAAACAAACTTTTCTACAGTTACAGGATCAACTTACAAAACTGACTCTTCAAAACATCGACCTTGAACGATCACGGAGGCACTTAGAATCCCAAATCCAATCGCTCGTTGAAGCCAGGTCAGAAATGAAACTCCAGCTGGACGATCTCGGACAAACCTTCCAACAATTACATAATCATTTCAGTATTATATTCCAAGAAAACCCTGAACTTCCACTAACCGAAAGAAGTAATGCCCTTCAGGAACTTAGGGTAAAAGTAGTCTTAATTTCTTGCATTAATGCGCATCCCAGACATATGTAACTGGATCTGATGATGACCACACGAGTGGCCAAAACGTTGTTATAAGGTTAAAGAAAAATAAATAATCTACTCAAAAGCTGTACCTCTGAACATTAATTTAGAGATTGCATATGCTTTAACAACTTTAATATGAACACAACTTAGTTATTTTCTCTGGACGTATAAACCAACACCATTTCAATATCCTTTCCAAATTAAATATATGAACGTCTCGTTTGCTTACAGAGCAGTAGAGCTTGGACAGAGCCTAAATTAGTGGTTAAGCTGGACAATGGGAGGTTTACGCTGGAAGAACTAAAAAACATTGTTGTCGAGAGAGATGACCTTAGAGTCAGAGTACAGGAGCTGAAAGAAGAGCTAATTCACTTTACACCGAATTCCGTACTTCAGTAAGTAACGCTGACCATCAACAGAGTTGACCACTAGTAGTGATACTGTTGCACTGTAATTCTTACACTAATGACCTTTGACACGGTTGACCAGTAACAATGATTCTGTTATACTATATTCTCTTTGCACCGAATTCCGTACTTCAGTAAGTAACGCTGATCATCAGCAGAGTTGACCACTAGTAGTGATACTGTTGCACTGTAATTCTTACACTAATGACCTTTAACACGGTTGACCACTAACAATGATTCTGTTGTAGCTAATTCATACACTACTGACTATTAACAGAGTTCACCACTAACATTGATACTGTTGTAACGAACTTCTTACACTACTGACCTTTGACAGTTGACCAGTAAGTAATCTTGCTGTAGTATTAATCTTTACACTACTGACCTTTGACAGAGTTGACCAGTAAGTAATCTTGCTGTAGTATTAATCTTTACACTACTGACCT